GCGGGCGGCTCGTGTAGCCCCCGCCTGCGCCGCAGCTTGACCCCGGGCTGGGTCCCGAACCCCGGGGGCTTTGCTCAGCAGGGGCCGCGAGGCCGGCCGCCTGCCACGCCCCTGCCCTTCCTGGGGCGCCCCCTGTTCGCCGTGGCCCCCGGAGACCGAGCGCTGTCCCTGGAGCGGGCCCGGGGCACCGGGGCGGCTGGGGCGGCTTCTGCACGCTCTGGCCGGAGGAGACGCAGTGGAGCGGATGAGGAGAGCGCGGAGAGGGGCGAGGGTGCAAGTCGAAGCCCCCGGGGAGTGCTGAGGGACGGAGGGCAGCAGAAGCCTGGGACTCTGGAACGGGACCCGGACAAAGCCACTCGCTTCCGGCTGGAGGAGCTGAGACTGACCAGCACCACGTTCGCGCTGACAGGCGACTCATCACACAACCAAGCCATGGTTCACTGGTCTGGCCACAACAGCAGCGTGAGTAGAACAGGACTGAGGGCAAAGGGGTGAAAGATGGACAGGGTCAGAGTCCGCTATGTGATCCGACCGAGGATGTGGAGAAAGGGTTTTCTGGATTTGAAAAGATGCCGCAAACTAAAGTCTTCCCAGCACTCCTCCCTTAGGAGTTAATGTGACCGACCAGGAGACCAGTGCCCCTAACACCACCAGAGTCCTCCCCAGACCTTAAATAGGGCTGCAGACAGAGCAAGGGAATCCCTACTTCCACGCATCTTTGGTCGCTTTGGTGTGGTGTGAGGCTGAAGACCAGGCAAACTGGGGGGTTAAAGTCTTTGCAATGCAGAGGCGAAGGGGTTAACTATCCAGGCAGGCTGTCATTCCCCCTGGTGTCTTTCGCTTTCCTTGGGAGACTTACAGATAAGCTCAAGTAAGATCGACTTTACTTGTGGGCTCTTAATTTTATTTTTATGTAGAGCTCCTAACCCCTTCTTCCCCACAAGAAAGGAGAGGTGCACTGATAGTAAGGTGCCCTTAATGTATTCTCCTTTTCTGGGAAGCTTGTAGATGCAAGTTTCAGGACAGGAACTCTCTCTCGAGTGTTCTAACAGCCCCCCTCAGTGTGTTAAGAGAGCTGGGGCTTTCCAGCCTGTGAATGAGTGGTTGTTCTCCGGAGTAACCAGTCCCAGGAAGAGGAGATATATCCCAGTGACAACAACTCCCTATTCTCTCTCTCCCATTGCCAGACCCCTCCAGTGAAGAGCACAAATACCCACTTAGCCCTCACTTTCGGAGGGAGGTTGGGGCTTTCTGGGGTGCAGGAGGCTGACATTGGACCGAGGGGGAGGGGGCAAGTTCATGGCTTTGGCCATAGCTGGGAATGTTTCAGATTTTTGGAAAAACCTGAATGTGTGGAATGGGAGTTAGTTATTCCAGTTTCAACAGCACCTGGAAACTTGAATGAACAGACAGAGTAAAGAACCAGCTTTGATGGGGGTGATTTCCCCAGCTTGCTGTTAGGTAGACAAAAAGATTTTTTTTTTTTTGTTAAAAAAAAAAAAAAAAAAAAGCAAGGATGGGTATGGGTAGAATGAAACAAATATCCAAGTTGCATCTTCCCTGGGTTAGAGTGTTCCGTTGTTTGTGGTATGCACAGTGTATACAGCTCAGTAGCTTTCCGTGTTTTCTCCGTGATGTAATTGCTAGAAACCTTCCCAGGGAAGCACCAGTCTAGAGATTTGTTCTTATTGTCAGCTTTTTAATGAAAGTTGTGAACATTTTAATGTAATAGTCTGTCATTATGGATTTCTTGTGTATGTGGTTATAAAATGGCAAACTAGTAAGGTAAATTATGATAAATGATCTTTTGTACTGGTTGTCTGTCTTGAGAGAATTAGCAGGATTTTCCCTACAGTTTAGCCTTCATGCCCAAAGCTATGGTTTTATGTGGTTCTCAGGAGTGCTTTAATCAAATAATACTTGAAACCATCGTTTTTGGGTTTTTTTTTTTTTTTTTGGTTTTTCATTCAAATTCCGCAGACCGCTGGACTCATGCCTCGTCTTTATTATAGCTTTTGTATCATAACCCCAAACTTAACCTCTCCCAACTCTCCCAATTTGAATTTGAATCTTAATATCAGTCAACGACCTTACACACTGATATAAGTGAGTCACTCAAAGGTTCTGACTTTAAGGGGAGATTTTAAACACGTAAGATGTGTTAGAACTTGTTGTATCAAGGCATAAGACTTTGGACTTAAAATATTTTTGACTTTTAATGTTATTCAGGCTGTAAAATAGCACTCACCCATAAGACCTCTACTTTAGTTCATCTCTTGGAAAGAGCAAGAAAACGAGAGTACATCTTTGGCAAATTTAAAACTCAATTTAAGAAATGGCGCCAAGCACTGCCAGCCTTTTTTTTTTTTTTTTTTTTTAATGGTAGCTATAAGCTCAGTAGGGCTTATTCGGGTCAGGACTTGGTGATCTACAGGGAAGTCTGAGATAATGTAGGGAATAATCCAGGTGTTCCATGTCCAAGGTTTGAGCACTAAATCATGTTAACTAATGAGGCTTCTAAACCCCAAGTCACATATTCTGTTGCTATAAGGCCACCTGCCCCCTGTCCCCATTTCTAAACCTTATATATGATTTTTAAGTGTTTTTGGTGTATGTATGTAATGATGATAGAGGAAGAAAACCAGTCTGTACCTAGGTCCTCCAAACAGAACTGGCACGGATTCATATGAGAGACGCAGTTTAAAATACTGTAAAAGCAGAAACTTTTCAGGGCAACTTGGTGACATAAGAAGCGGGATAGTGACCAGAGTTCTAGTTCTGCTGATTTGTGGTTTAATCTTGGCTCTGAGCTTAAAACTCCTTGTCTCTGGAGTGTGGGCAGTGCCTGCTGGATTCATTCGAGAGACTCTCGTGCCAGGACGCTTATAAGAAAGCATGAAGTACCTACACCTGTTTGGAGCTCGCACCTCTTCACTTCCCCCAGAATGAGAAACCCAGTACCCTAAACCCAAAGACAGGATGCGTGCCTCTGCTTGTGTTCACATTTACATGCTTTCCCCTCCACGGCCCAAGCCACTCAGTGCAATCCTCTGAACCTGTCTCACCTTCATCTAAAAGCTTTTGCTAAGTAGGACTTCTGATTACAATAACACCTGCATTAAAGGTGTAAATGTATGATAATTACAGGCTGCCTGTCAGACTTGTGAGGGATTCTGGATGGTTCTCTCACCTCCTTCCCTTCTCCTTCCTGCCCCCTCCACTGCTGGGCTTGTACAGTTGTGTAGACACGAGTGTGGTGCCTCCTCCGTGGATGTGATATGATTCCTCCCTACTGCAGTCTAGCTTGATGGAAACTGTTGCTAGAGTTGGTGGAACACCTGGGGGATCTTTTGGCATGAAAGGTGCTGGGTATGAATCATTTGTCATGAGCTTGGTGTCTTAAGCAAGAACATATTGTTCCAACCCTACTCATCTGAGACATGCTGTGCCCTGATCTAAATTTATATAGCAGTCCTTAGTTTGTTAAACTATATATTTACCCACATATGCATGTGTGGTAGAACATGGGTTTATTCTTTACTTCCAAGGAATTTCAGAGTGCTACACTCATTCATCCTTACAAAATCTTTGTTAGGTAACAGGTAGGTGGCAACTGTTAATATCTCTTTTTCAAATCTGTATGCGGGAGTCAATTTGAATATTTCAGTTACCACCTTGTCCCTTTGTCGCTAGAAAGTGTGATATTTAAGATTTAACAGAGGCTTTTACTTGACATTCTGTTGCCGTTATGATATTTTTAATATTGCATTTATCATAATGTATGATGATCTGCTTGCTTTTTCCTGTATTTCCTTTAGATGTTCTGGGTCGTGACATTCACCATCCAACCTTAGTGAAAAAACTGAGTCCCAATTTTTTGCTAAAATGTTGTAGTAGATCTTATTGTTGCTATTACACAGATGAGGAGACTGAGACTCCCGAAGTCTGCATGGCTTGTCAAGAAGATGCGGAAGTTTAGTGGCAAAGCAGGGACCTTAACTCAAGGATCTCCAACTCCCAAACTGCACAGAATGGTATATCATAGGCCTGGAAAACTCGAGTCTTTTGGAATCTGTATTTTAAATAAGTCTATCTAGGTTGGGTTTCATATTGTCGTGGAGAAGCGCAATCTTAGCTGGAAACATCACCTCCCTATGGAAAAGCAGGAACTTTACCTTGTGCCTGTCGCATCACAACCTTAGTGTTAAGTAGTTATTCCGTTGTCTCTGTCCACCCACTTCTTCATGATTCTCAGACATGAAATCTGCACCTGGTGACTCACTGAGCACACACATCTCATGTTCTTCAGGAATGGGGTGCCATTCTAAGTTAATTGCTTATTTGATTTTTATAGAGAAGTTGAATATGAACAGCTTGATTTGGTATACATTTTGACATAGGTGTTTATTTTTGTGAGTAAATTTGTGAAATATTTTTGTTTTCTCTAGCACAGCTACCTAATTCTTTCTCTGCTCTGTGTTCTGTGCTATTAACAGATGTTAATGCGGTATGACATGCAAGGCAGTGGTTTAGAAACAGATAGGTTTGAGTTTGAATGTTAGTGCTATTGCTTACAAACATATTATCTTGAACAAGACACAAATTCTTTGGACTTCGATTTTCTCTGCTATGGTAAGGGGGTGGTAGGTCTTCTTGAGCCATTTCTGGAGATTTGACAACATGTATACCAGTAGATGATATGTAATCAGTGCTCAGTAAGTGCTGCTTCTTATTTTAGTTGAAGAAATAATTCTGTCTTGGGAACTAAGGATCCTGGAATATAGTTCTGATAGTACACAAAAAATTAGGTCTGTAATTGTAACTTGTTAAAATTTTATGGTCTTAATTTCATACACTGTAAAATGACACTAATGCTAAAACACCATCGAATCCCTTATAGGGTGAGATTATTTTAATAGTTTGCTCAATCTGTCGGTATTGTGCACCTGCTATATTTAAGTAAAGGATAGCAATGGTGTGGTGTTGGGGGGTCCAAAAATGACACAAAGCTGTAAACTTGAGTCCATAAGTGAACAAACCTTTAATTTCAGATTCCTCCTTTTTTTTTTTTTCATGACTCGTATGCAAGTTCCAGAAGACTATTCATTTAAATGTGGATTTGCAGCTAGACATCATTTATTAAGTTCATTGTAGCATGCCTTTTTTTTTTTTTTTTAAAGATTTATTTATTTGTTCATACAGAACTGGGGTACAGGCCAGAGATGTGGAGGGTGAGAGGATTCACCAGAGACAGAGCGGGGAGCAGAACAGGCAGATCGATGAAGTACACTGCTGAGGGGAGCAGCGGGAGGGTCAGGAGAGGTCTGCCGTGTCATGTGGTCACCAAGAACTTGGTGGCAGGCGGGATCGAACTCATGTGGAAGTGGCTTTAGTTTTTCAGTGCTGCGCTTTAACCTGCTGCACCACCAGGGAGGGCCCGTAGCATGTCTTTATGTTAAGGA